CTTAGTTTATCGAAAATGTGCCCAAAAATATCTCCGTAGCAATTTACTTCTTTTGCTAATTTTAAACTTGAAGAAACATTATTTTTTATGGAAACCTTTCTAATTATGGGCTCTTTAGGACCGTGAAATGTCCAGTTATACATCAAGGCATCAGAATGCCTACAGATTCTATTCGTGGAGTGGACAAGCTGGCCTACATTCATTGTAAATTTTTATTTTAGTACTATATAGAAATGCATGATTTGGCATGCATGGTAAGTATGCAGCCTGTAGTTTGGAAACCTTGAATTAAAGCGAAACGGCTGGTGGTATTAAAATTAATCTGTGGGCTAAATTTGTTGTACAACCGAGTAATACTCTACCTTCAGGCATACACTTTGAAGAAGACGTAATTTTCTTCTAAATAAGTAGACTAAAGTACATTTATAGACGTGTTTTTATAAATCATGTTTGAATTCCAACAAGGTATCCAAAATCGAAGGACAATATAAATGCTACATAAGTGGTTTCTACAGGCTCTCGATAAAACAGTTCGTTCGAAAGCCGGTATCCTGATGTGACTGTAATATATTGGCATTTTGCCCCATGACAATTGGTATAACAACCTTTTTTAAGTTTTCATTTTGAATAAAAAATGAATTTGAGAATCTCTGTTAACATTTCATGAAATAGCATATCTACTGCATCCGATATGGACGCTCTAGGATGAAAGGTCTACGCAAATATGTCAATCATTTTTTCGTCGGTAGCAATGGACGTAATAGCTTTCACTAATTTGTTGTTAACCATAGTTCACCTTCTCACTGCAGGTCAAATTTCACTTAATCGGCTCTCTTAACTTTTCTACTAGCCTCTAGTGAATCACCAACCTACACGTATTAATGGTCGACTCGTGGAAACCCCGTAAGCTCAATTACCCGAGCACCTGTATCTACACTTCCAGTGAGCTCTAGGGACCGTAGAAGTGCCGACTGTAAGGAGGATTCCCTCATCGACCAGGATGTCAGTTTTAACTCTGATACATCCATCTGAACAACTGGCACCGCGTACACAGCTGGCCGATGGATACCGGCTCCCAGTAGGCTGAATGGGGAAATCCCCGTGCTGCTTCCTTCGGTTGCACTAACCTCACAGGTAAAGAGGCCCAGCGCATCCTTGAGGGGAAAGTAGAGCCTATCCGGAACTTGCAGTTTTTAAGTATTTAGACCATTTTTCTACCAAAATGCCTTAAGCCTCTTTGACTACTAGCGTGTTCTATCATGATAAAGAGAGCTGGAGGTCCCGGTTACTTGTGTATTTTGGGATCCTTGAATTAAGTGAAACAACAGGTCGGATTTGAAATTATGAATGTTTTAGAGTTAAGGCTGATGTTATGCTCAATGAGAGAATCGTCCTTACTGTCCGCATTTGTGTAGCTCTTAGAACTCATGGGATGTGCAGATACGGATGCTACGGTAATTGTGCTTACGGAAGTTCCACAAGTGGGCCATTCATACGTATTGGATTGTGATACACTAGGCGCTAGTTTACAAGTTTATGCAAATTGATCAAGTGAAATCTGATATGCACCTCGGAAGCAAGTCAGGATTGAAAATGAATTCACGAAAGACGACATCAGCAATTTAACATAATGCTTCAACATGCCCGAGGTCATCCATCATCCTCGGCCTTGCATATTGGATTGGTGATACTCACGTGGCTTGAATAAATCACTACGGTCTAAGGGTGCAGTCGATGTAGACTAGGACATGCATGCAAAGGACCTTGTGCGATGCATATGCCTTATTCATAAGTGCTCGAATTACCTCATTTATCCGGGATCAAATTATTACTTTGGCCTTTTAGACGCTAAGATTATGGAAGAATGATTCTTGAAGGATACGAGAAATGGACTTACTTCTATCTGCATACGAGGTTCCGTCCTTATTCTGACTAAACATGCCCTGTTCGTATGGTAATATTGATGATCCAACTACATGTGGATCCTAGTTCCACCATCGAATGTAACGGCATAACAGTTTGGATGGGCTCAGCATCTCGTAGGTCGTCGAGTTGATTTGCAACGCAGTTCAAGGGTTACATTGCGTTGATTGGTTTCGTGCGACCTTGGACGCGACCAACGAAGCGGCTGCCAACTGGCGGTTTTTGCATCAGGCGGTGGTCATGTGTTGCGAAATAGAACGAGTGTGAACCTTAGAGGATGGGATTTAGTTGATGCAGAATTAAGTGGACAAGCCTGATATTCGGCATGATGCACACCCTCATGCACATCAACTGTTCGTTAAATAATCCGAGTTTGATGATACAGGCGGCTTCCGGTTTGCTCGCTGACCACTCTCATCGAGATTCTGACTGGCCGTTGAAATATGATGGACTAGCTCCCTCAGTTCTCCTGCAAACGAACACCATCGGGCGTGTCTCTTGTGACACTTCTGAGTCGGTTGCCGCACTGCCGCAGCTGGATCCGGCTTCCGGGTGGATAGCCCATGGGGAACACGCTGAGGATTATGCTCGTTTTATTCTCATGCTTTTCTGTGTCCTATCCTAATCCATCAGCACTGAACAACCACTTACTTCCGCAATGTTATGACTTTCTCATCATCCTCTGCCGTAAATCGACTACCCCCTGTCAACATGAACCTGCCGTGAACTCCTCTACTGTTTTGCACGGTGCTTGTTTCCCTCCCAAAATGCTCAGATTCTATGAAGTCCCCACGCCCCACCGGGCTTCATGTTCAGGAGCCTGTTTTAGTGCTCGACCCACAGGTCGTTGTTTTACCCTAAAATGTCAATTCGGAATATGTGAATATTACTACCATAGGTATGATATACGAACTGCTAAAACGCTCCTTCTTCATTTCCTATCTATTTCTATCTGTGTTGCTAGCTATCATCGGTTATGGGATGCGGGCTCCGGGTTTGAGTTTGTCCCAATGGACGTTGACTTAATTCAGGTATATGAGTACGGGAAACGGGCAAGGAACATACTGTCGAACCAATGTCCCCTTAGCTGGGCCATTCAGTGACTGAAATGCAGAGAAACCCTTGTATCGACTTTTGAATTATGCGAATATTTGTAGTATGCTGATGTTTCCTGTATCCTGGAGGAGACGAGCATCCTAGCAGCACTATAGCCTCAGTGAGTGCTAGTTAGACCTATGTAGCAGTTGACGAAGAGATTGTAAATCTCACTGATGACATAAAATCCCGCTTCCTGCTCATCAACATATCCATCATCACGACCGTTATTCCCAATGCGTTCTTCCCTTCCACCCTCTCCACCATTCCAAATCTGGCTGCGACGTGGGGAAACCGTGGAAATACGAGTCCATTTGGATGAGGAATGACCATTGAGACGCACGCGACAAATGCGTTCTTACAAACTCTTTCTAGGGTCAACAAATCAATCCACCGACCTGATCGGACCTCTGCCAAAATCAATCGATCTGGAGATTTACAGTGAAGACTGAGACAGCAATTCACGAGGCCAACCGGGTCGTCGCTGGCAATGCTAAATAAGCGACGCGCAAGCTTCAGGTGCTGCGGGTTCACAATCCGAACATACAGAGTTCCTGCCAACGAGTCTATGTCGTCAACGGACATTAGGCCCTCCAGCCGCCGATGCCCTCTACCAAGCCCATCATCATCGCTCCATGACCACAACGGCGTCGGCGGCGACGACTACTTCCGCTACTTTAATCCCACCGCCAGTGAGAATGTCGAAAGTCGTGTGCTCGACAAGATAAAGATTCCAAATCAAAAGTCAGGGAAGACGGATGAGTTGGACAACCTTTACTGCCTGGGGAAGTGCGTACACAAGGGCTCTGTAGGCAGTCGCCGCGAGCGCGCTCCAAGCAAGCTGTTGCCTGTGTCCGCCTTCGAGGTGTTGTCAGCGCGTGTGTGCCCTTTGTTGTCTCCACGTCCGCCAGCCAATCAGAGTGGGGATAGCGTTGATTGGCTTCGAGCACTCGCACGTCCCAGCGGCGTATCGACATGGAGTGTGGGGCGGACAGGACGGCAGCGGGACAAAGGCGAAGGGCGAGGAGCCGCGAACTGCCACAAGAACACTGCCGATGGCCTGCCACCCATCATCATTGCATATGGTCGACACTGTGGAATGGCTGACGATAAGTCAGTGGGAGGGTGCGAAAGTAGAATGCCTGTCACCTTGTGGTCGTGTAGATCGGTGTTGAATTGGTGCAGGATTAGACAATCGCGGTCTGTCTCCGGCAAGTTTGCGTAAGCTATGGCTGCCAGGCACAATGCTCGCTTTGCGCTAAAGGTAATGCTCATTCAGCCTCAATTGTGGAATGCAGACCCCGGGATAGATGCTATCTCAGGAGGCCTATCGTTGAACCAATCTCCTACCTAGCTGGCTTATGCAATAGCTGAAATACAGAGAAAACATTGATTTCCCTTTTGACTAATGTGAAAGTTTGGAGTATGTTGATGCAGTTTTCTTTATTCTAGCGGAGAGACAAGCATGCTAGGAGCGTCATCACGTCAGGGAGTTCTAATCAAACGTGTATAACAGTTGACTAAGAGATCGCGAATGTCGATGATAACATCAATCACACTTCTTTATCAGTGGGTCCCAGTTCTCGACAGGTAGGCCTCAATACAACCGCGAGGACGACGAGCCCGTGACTCAATGCTTAGGGCTTTGTGCTACAAACTAGCAGGACGCGATCTTGGTCATCAGTGGTTGCAAACCTGGGACATGGTGATGCCGTGGAGGCGCGAGTCCATTTGGATGCGGGAAAACCATGGAAATGCACGCAACAAATACGTTCTGCCAACTTCGTTCTAGGATCAGCGAATGAGTCCACCGGCCTGGGAGGACCTCTGCCACAATCGGTCTATCAGGAGAATACCAATGAAGATGGAGACAGCAATCCACGAGGTCGCCGGGTCGTCACTGGCAATGCTAGAATAGCGACTCGCAATCCTCACTTGCTGTGGGTTCACAAACTTAACACCCAATCTTTTCCAACGGATCCATGTTGTCAACGGACATTACGCCCTCCAGCCGCCGACGCACTCTACCACCCCTTTTATCAATGCTCCATGTCCTTAACGACGAGTACCGCTACTTCAATCCCATCGCCAATAAGAACACTCCGCATGGCCTGCCACCCATCATCACCACTTCCACCACGAGCAACGCGGATTCGATCCCAGTCTTTCCTGCTTGTAGTCGCACCTTCACGTCATGCATCGGTCTGATTTGTCACTTAAAAATCGATCGCACCGAAACTGTCGAACCAGTGCCTGACGCAACAGAATATAGCCACAGGACCAGTCTCAGCCGCTTCCACTACCCACTCATATTCAATCGTCGCACTGGCATACCCAGCCTCCTGCACGCGCCGACAGCCGAAATCACTGTGGTGTCTGCACGCCAAAGCCACCTCGCAAATCTGCAAGCCTACTAACCATCGGTGCTACCGACCCCACCACCACCACCACCACCACACAAGCAACACAACAGCTACCAGCCTACATTGCGTATATTGCCACCGCACATGCTCATCATGTATCAGTCTGGGCAGTCAGGTGTGGATCCTAGGAAATCTGCGGCAAAGCAAAGCAGTTTAGACCTCATCATCGCCCACCTCCCACCAGCCACTACACCACAAACAATCATGACCCACGCCGCGCACCATCGACAGAGACTAGGCATCTCTCACATAAGTGAATAGAGTGATATCTGGCGCATGCCGGTGCTTGATCAGGTCGGATGTGGCAAACGTATACGAACACTACCCACTCCCCATCGTCAGCTGTCTGACCTGCCGGAAGATTTTTGTGGTGCGCTGGAGAGGGAAGTGATGGCGAGGCCGACTTTGGGGACTCTACCTTACGGCATCCCAAGCGCTTTCCTCAAATATGGCGCGGTCCTACTCTCTCCACCATCTTCTGCCCAATATGATCCTTTGGAGTAGACTGGCGTAAATATCCGGAGGAGAGGTCCGTCTGTGTTCTACAAGTTCATGTCCTATTAGAACTGTTTTCTGTACGATTGACTGGGAAAAATGCTCTTAGTATGAAAGGCCTTACTCATCCTACCAGACTGAGTGGGGTTCCATTAGAAGAAAGGACAATGATATGGAGAAGGACCCCACTTAACTGACGACGGACTGTGGATCACGTCATATGGGCTTTTATCTTGACAGCCATTCGCATGCGTTCGCAGACTTTACCCTGTCAATAACAATCATTTGTCATGACTTCAAATTGTTATTCAAAATCCTTTACTTTTTGAAATTTACTTTTTTGTGTTTCATTACCGCGCTCATTTCAGTTGTCGAACGAAATCGTGCGACGAGTCTTTCAGGAGAAATCTAAACAATGTCTGTGTTTCTCTGCATTTCGTCAGCTTACGGTCTAGTATGGTGCAATACCCGTGAAATTTTCTTATCACCAATCATGTATGACACGATCCACGGTCTATTGACAGTAAAATACAGTCCTTTCCATACCGTTGCTGAGGAGATTTTTCATTCGTTTTAATAGCGGTCTTGCAGCCGGCCTGACTTAGGTATGATGTGAACAAGGAAACCTTGCTCGGGAAAACCTATAGTAACTGTTTTTCGAATGAGACCGTTCCGAAATCCATACAAACTGGACTTCCAGGTTTTAATTTGCATGACAGACTGGCGTGATTTGAGTTGAATCGTCTTCCAGCAGTATGAAAACACGATTAACAATGCCCCTAAAGTTTCCATCACACTGTTCACGCACCGCTACAACACGTGAACGTTGATTCTTTGGATGATGACCAAAACTTCCCTGATCTCCTAATCTCTTTGTGCTTCCGTCGTAGTACGGCACGGTGATTGTGTTAAGATGATTGGATACCATTATAGGCTCACTGACTAATGAGGTAGTAGGTCCGTTTGACGTCACGGATAGCATTGTCTGTTTCCTCGTCACAGCCCTGCTAGACTTCATTCGAAAAGCAGCTGGGGGTGGGCGCACTGATTAGGGTCTATCGTGATGACAGGAGGCAAGGGAGGTTGGAGTGGCGATTTTTGGCCTATTAACTGTCTTCAGCGTATGAATTCATTTGTATAGCAACCATGAGTATATAATGCGAGGAGTGCCGCCAAGCACAAGGGAGACTGAAATGACCGTTTCTGGCTTTTTGTCCGTCATCAGCTAATACGGGCGGGGCCTACGCATGCCTAGAGGCACGGCAGAATAAGTATAAATAAGTGTTAAACTCGGAAACTCACTCCAAAAGAAGGAATGGAAGCAAATACTAAAGATAAGAGGAGGAGGAATCCCAGAGCTGAAAAACAGCCCTTCTGCCTCCCCCTTGTTAATAGGCTCCGCTCTGTACATTCCTTTTTGGACTCCAAAACGGAGTAGCAATTCAAGGATTCACACAAGCCGTGATTTATGATACGTCTTCCGTCACGAAACGGTATAGCTTGCAGCATAAGAGTGGCTTGGACACGACTGTTTCTTATCACAGCCGGAGACATTATGGTCATTATTTCATTAAGCCATATTTCAACCGAAATCAAAGCATCGGTGATGAGTCAGTTCAACAATATGGACATGAAATGAATGTTGCAAAGGATAATTTCAAAACAAGAAATACGTGAGAGCAGATTTAGTGCATAACGGACGGACATAGAAAGCTAATCATAGGCAGATAATGGCTGGGGGAAGTTCGTATAATTGCTTTTTACTGGAACGGACTACTTAGGCCAGTTTACGGAAATCCCCATGTGCATTCCGTCCACACCGACCAATAGTTCGGCAGGATGCAAGTTTTCAGTAGAAGACTAGTTGACGTAAACAGGCTCGTCAGAAAGGAGAAAAATGTCATTAAAAAACGGTCGAAATCCATAATCAGGCCGTAAAATAGAAGAACGCATTTCTTGCCGGAGTTTGAGCAAGAACAAAACTCATTTTGCGGTTAACCTTAAATGGATATTGAAGGGTAGGGAAACTGGACCAATCTGCCTCCAGAATGATACCCAGTTGAACAGTGAGACGGGCTGTTGGTGGTTTTTCAGATCCGAACTCATTGAAACGTATTCATATCGGACGGTGTCTACAAAATGAAGGCGGGCTGGTCGTGCTCGTTGCAAGAAGTTCTCGTGGAAAAATAAATGCATAGACAGGTTTGCCAGTGCGGAAGGAAAAGTGGCGAACCAATGAACGAAATTCAAGGTCGTGCTTTAAGATAAAAAAAAGCATACATAGGAGACTTGTGGCGCGATTTTCCTGAATGTGATATAATTGTGCTCCATAGACAGTCAAAGTAGGACTTTCTATGGCATTGCATATACGTGGCCGATTAGATAACGGATAAACTGGTCCACAAACTTGTACATGACACCACGAGCTACCTCTACTTCATACACTTTTAACCGCTTCAGTCAGAAAAAGAAGCCGTCAAATCTCAGCCTCACTGACGACCGTCTCTAAACTTTTCTCCTCTCCTTCCCTTTCCTTTTCTGTCTCTTCTCCCTTTCGATCGACTTCCTGGTTGTCATTTGTTTAAAATGTAACCTAAGATATGCTGTTTCAATTCCAAGAAGTTACTCACTCTGCAGCACATAATGGACCGTTAAAACAAGCATTCAAATACCCTTGTCGCCCACAGGCACACTAAATACTATGTACGGCATCTTATTACACATGTTTAGGCTGCAATCAGTTGTGAGTAGCCGCGTCATTGGTGAGGTCCTCCACGGAGCTTGTGGAGGCGAAAGTAATGGCCAAGTTTACCCGGGACTGTATTGAGAGAAATGAGTATCCAGACCACTACTTGAGAATGCTAAGCCGTAGTCGTACAGTTATTACTACAGAAACCCTGAAGAGATACGCTAAGGATCAACTGGAGAGTACCCTCGCAAGGGTAGAAGAAATTAGACGTCACGTCTGTCAACGTACAGCTCTCCCTGACACCCTGACTGATGAAGAAAGGCAAGAATTCGACAGCTACACTCAGTCCACGGGAAGAAAACAGGCAAAAGTTTCTGCATTTGTTAGAAGTGTGCATGAAATGAAACCACAATCGCGGTTTCCGAAACATCTACGTCGGTACGTACACAATCACTCTTATACGATATTTGGTAAAACATCACTTAAAGCATTATCCATTGGTCGTAGGTTTTGCCAAACTTGTCGAAATGGTAATCAGTTAAAATTGGAAACTCAGTTCAAGAACCTCTGGAACCAAACCTATGATCTAGTGCCCCCTTCCACAGACAGTATACAACATTTTAAATGAACACTGGTGAATGATAACCAGCCGAACCTACAACAAGGAACCAAAAAGTCCACGATTACTGACAAAGGTAGACTTGGGAAAGCTAAAAGCACTTCGAGAGAACAAAGATATCTAGATGACTAGACCTGACCAAGTAACACGCGTCGTTATAATGAACAGATCGGACAAAGTTGCGAAGATATAGTCCATATTATCTGACCAGAAGAAATTCAGAAATGCAGACAAAGAAAATGACTGCACGGATGGAGTAGAGGCAAAACTGGCTGACAGTCTAAGAAGGCTCCACACAGGGGGTTGCACAAGTGACCGTGACCTCGAACATCTCCGACCAGTTGACACACATATCCCTGTACTATATGGTTTACCTAAGATCCATAAGGAAGGCCTGCCAGTTCGTCCGACTTTAGACATGCGAAACTCGCCATATCATGCGATATCAAAGTGGCTAGCAAAGAAACTCAAGCCCGTACAGCATCAGCTAGCAAGACACAGCAATCGAGATACGTTTCAATTCATTGACAAAATTAAAGACCTTAATCTTAACGGCACGATGATGATGTTCTCGTTAGATCTTGCATAAATTTTTACAAATATCTCCGTCACCGAGAAAGTTGTGTACATCTGCGATTTTCTATCGGTTATTCAGCAGGTAATAGGGATACCGATGAACAGACTCAAGGAACTTTTACTAAGATGCACATTAAATGTGCAATTCCTTTTTGACAACCAGCTTTATAGAAAAATAGACGGCATTGCTATAAACTCGCACCTTGGACCTCTCTTAGCCTATCCTTTCATCGGCAAGCTGGAGAAATTTGAACTACGGGATCAGATCGACAAGCCTAAGCATTACGTTTGCTAGGTTGATGATATCTGTGCAATTGCCACTGCAGAAACCGACGTAGCTACCCTTTTACATGCCGACAACCAGGCACATCCGTCGATAGCATTCATGTTGGAGACCGAAACGGCCGGTTCGTCCCCTTTCTTAGTTGTCCTTCTAAAGAGGGGACCTGATGGTAGCTGTCCGAAGGAGCGTCTATCGGAAGAAAACCTGGTCTGCGCAATACAAGAAGTTCGCCAGTTTCATTCCCCTCCAACAAATACGAAATGTAGTCCGATGTTTACCACAAACAGCTAGGAACATTTATCCAATAGGATGCATCCAGGAATTGCTTCGCG